GGTGCAATCGCTCGCTGTCATTTCAGTAAATAAGTTTAAGATGCGCTGTTTGGTTAATCCTACGATGCTCTTGCAAAGTGCACATGCGATACGGTACGTGCGTGTCGGAACCCCAAAAACCCCTTTTGGAGAAGTTGCAAGTTGTCTACATATACTAATATACTAGTTGGGATTCAAAGAGTAAATTTGCTAATTGTTCAATTTTAGATTTTTTCCCTTAGAAAGTCTTGTTAAAACTGTCTCTAATTTCTCTTCTGGCATCCCATTTTTCTAAAATAGCGACTTTGCAAGCAAAAAAACATACCAAAATGTTCCAGATATGACCAAGGATACTATTGACACATCACAGTGGAAGATTGACAAGACTTACCTCTACGAAAGTTACTATATCTTAATGATTGGTACAATTTAATTAAATATTTTCTCTACAAACATTTCTGAATAATTTACGAGCATTGCAGAGGCAATGTTTCGCAGTGATCTTATCGAATTATCTCGGAACAGCACCGCCAAAATACTTTCGATTGGTCTTGGAGGTGGAACAATTGATAGCTTTTTGCATGAAGTCTTTCCACAGGTACTCTCACCTTCATAGAAAATGAATTTTGGTGGAAGATTGTTAACCTTCAGATGGACATCACTGTAGTCGAAATTAGCCGCCGAATACTAGACATGGCCAAGAAATGGTTTGGTTTGGTGGAAGATGATCACCACCGTGTCGAGATTGTCGATGGAATTACATTTTTGGCGGAGAAAGCTAAAATAGGTTAGCTTAATATCTTATTTACATTGTTGGTTTGTATCAGATACATGTGATTAACTCGCTCTAAGAATTAAGGACGTATGAGAAATATTCAGCCTTCCATTCCAGGAGATCACTATGACGCAATCCTAGTTGACGCGTGCCCAGCAGAGCCTGTGGAAGGAATTAAGTGTCCTTCAAGATCATTTTATAGCGAACGCGTCTTAGAAGATATTGCTAAGTTGCTTCCAGCAAAAGGTAAGTTTGGTTCTTAACATAATTCATGCAAAGCTAGCAAATTCACACATTCTGCGATAATGTGAAAGCAAGTACAACCTTCCTTACTTTATGTTCTCGTTTTCGATATGGGAAACTTTCGAACCATTCAATTAGGTTAAGCGTTGTAGCGCTACACATAGTGTACGTGCACCTGATTTAAAATTACCTTAATACTGTTCTGACCAAAGTTATCTCTATCGTAAACAAATTCCTTTGCAGTCAAACTCAACTGTACTTCTTTATGATTGTTATACTCTAATGTATTTTCTGATTTATTCTTTTGCCGAATCAAAAAACAAAGAAAACTGCAAATCGGCAGCAAAGAGC